CAGGCTTGGAGCAGAAGAGTCCTTGGTCTGACCAGGGATGGTTATTTTTATGGCCACATTTTTGTTCATTTTAGTGTCAGTGGGGTACCACTAAGAAAGAGCACCTTCTTTGATTCTCTTACTTGATTCCGGTGTGATTTGACTGGTCCAAGAGCAAGTGTTGTACTCATCTACCTGTGGCAATGAACAGGGACCAGACAGTCTGCATACACCTACTCTGCTAAATAAAAGTGGGGAAAGCAAGTTCCCCATGCCCACAAGGTCCCCATTCTTCCCTGTCAAGAGCTACCATACTCATCCAAGGAAGCATGGGGAGGTGACTTGCTGAAAGAAGGAAAAGAGGGTCTGGGGTGAAAGAAACCCTAGAGCAGCTGAGGGGCTAAGGGAGCACAGGTTTGGTGTCACTGCTGTCTGCACTGCCAGTGGGACAAGGCACAAGTGAAGGGTAACTGCCAAAGTCCATAGTCCTTCATGGCTGCGGGCACCACCAGCTTTGCTTTGGATGGAAAATCCACCCAACAGTTGGGACAGAAATCGGCAGAGACATGCACAGATGCTACATCTAGGAGGATCGGCATTTTACTTAGAACCAGGACATAGAAGCACACAGCAAGGAACTACCCCACCACAGCTTAGCTTTTGTTGAGGGTGAAGGCCACACGTTTTTACTTCATGGTCAGGGTGGGCTGTGAGGCCATGTACAGTTAATGTAGTTGATAGTTGACAAGTACTGACTGATTCAGCCACAGTAATGTGACCAACTGTCCACACCTTCGCTTCTTTACTTACCTGCTCCTAAAGTGTCATGACCTAAGCGCAGAAAAGCCCCAATGGGCCCACAGGGAAAATTATGGTCCAGTACACCTAAATAATCACTGGCCTGGGGAGACAGCTGCGAGCGTTGGGGTGGGATAGGACAGGACACAGCTACATTGCACGGAAAGAGGATCTTCAGAAGGTCCCAGGCCATGGTAAGACCCCCTGCATCATGCCTGGACCCTTGGCCAGCTGCCTGAGCCTTCTGCTTATTGTTTGGCTGCCATCATGAAGCTGTAACTCTGCAGAGAGACTTCTCTCTGGAGAGCCCCCTGACTCCTTAGCTACCAGCAATGATCCAGCCCAGGGCTTTTATTGCTCTTACACTGAAATATTAATGAAGCCATCAGCCCTGTGAGTTCACTGGCACTCGTGAGTTCTCTGGATCAATAGAAGTAGAGCAGACAGAGCCATGAAAAAGAGCCACTTTTGGAGGGTTTGGTGTTTTCCAGGAGTGCTAACAACGATGCCCCAGGCTCCCTCTGGAAGAGCGCCAGGAAAGGTCAGACAGCCCTCCATCAGTCCCCATCGATTCCCTCCTGACTGGAGCTCATCCTAATGAATTGTCATAGAGGACCATTGTGCTAATCAACTCACTATTAATGTGGGCTTAGAAATGATTACGGCATTGATTAGAGGCAGCTTGTCAGCCAGAGCTGGTAGCGACAGCTTCCAGCTGGCTGGTTCTGAGACTTGCCATTACTGTCAGTGGTGGCAGGAGATACCGGTCCCCACCATCCTCCTCCATCCCTTCATTCGGGGACAGGGCTGAAAATACCCTCTGCCACTGAAGGCAGCCACAGCGGTCAGCCTTCATACAGAGCAGGATCCAGGAACAAGGACTCCTCGTGTTTCTACGCTGACCCAAGGGGAAATGAGAGGAGCCTGATCTCCGGATCCCAGTCTGCCCTCAACCTGCCAAAGTGCAAGGTGTGAGCTCAAACACCAGGTTCCTCCCCCCAGCTCCTCCTAGAGCACAGCATCCCACCCAGGCCAAGGATCCCTCCAGTTGCTTCACCCCCTGGTCAAGGTGTCTGTGACTCTCCTGGCTGTAGGGAAGAGGGGGCAGCTCTGCATGTGGTGCCTGTCGGGACACCACACTTCAAGGCATACAGCACAACCCCTGCCTGTGACCTGACACTGCCTGTCGGGACACCACACTTCAAGGCATACAGCACAACCCCTGCCTGTGACCTGACACTGCGTATTACCTAAAGGATTAACCTGGGGCACATCTACAAACCCCAGCAGCAGCTGGAGCCCAGATCCCCAGATCATCATGTGACTGAGGTCCACGGCTCCCACCCACTCCCAGGAACCCTCCTCAGTGGACGCTGGAGAACATGCCATGGACCACCCATCCCAGCATCCACTGAGTCCTGGACTCCATTGCATGACACTAAGGCAGTGGAGAGCACGTCTTCTCATTCACCCAACTGTGCTGCTCTTTCCTTAGGGGGTCCCAAAATCTGGAGCTGTAACACCCTTTACTGGGACAAATTTACAGTGAAAGGGCTCAGAGACAGGTAAATTGGGAGCCCAGGAACACCAGGTTCATTTCCCTAAGCTGGTTTAGGGCTTTTCTCATTTTTCTTAAGAGTGGCTAATTAAGAGGAAAGGTGCCCGTGACCTGATTAGAAATGGCCCTGATTAGAAGGAGCAATTGGTAGATGCTGAATCCTCCAAGCAGGGGCTCTTCTGCTGGGAACTTGCCAGCTTGGGAAGGGGAGGGAGGTAACCCTTTTTTTCCACGGTAGAACCAGGATGAAATTCTGCTGGGAGCTGGGACAGAGTGGTGTACCTGAAAGCCTTTATGGGATGCTGAAACTGCATAGGGAGAGTTTCAGTGACTGGTATAAAAAGGCTCATCTTCCCTGCAGCAGAGAGAGATCACACTGCCTCACTCACCTCCCACCCCCAGCTCTGATGGAAAGGAGGATCTACCTGAGGATCCATCTGAGGATTGTTTCCCCTCCTCCGCCCAGCTTCAAACCCCTCCCCAAACCACGCAAACTGCTGAATGCTCCATTAAGTCTTTCACACCAAGAGAAAAGAAGGTAAATATTCATTTTACTTTTTACAGGAGGTAAAAAGGTGCTCAAAAATACCGACAGTGACTGGAAAATTGGTGGGTGCTGTTTTATTGTGTGCAGGACTGGGGCAGCTTCCAAAAAGGGCATGAAGAAGACGCGCACAGCCTCAGTCCTTAAGGGGAACCCTGTTGACTAGACTTTTATTTACTGTGGTACATCAATACCCAGCGAGGTATCTGCAGCAACAACTCTACCCCAGTAACCAGCAATGTCGCAATGGCATATTGTGAGACCTGGCATGCAAAAACCCCTTTGGAAGTTAGCAGTGGCTCCTGTTATTGGGTCTAATGTGGTTTGTGGTCAGGAGCTCTGCTCTGGGATGTATAAGGAGGGTTCTCCCCTGGGAAAGTCTTCCAGGACCCTAGAAGTGGGTTTGGCCCAGAGTGGGTCCATGTTATGGCAGAGCAGGGATGGATCCCCTTTTATCTCTCTTCATTGAGTCCAGCATTTCTTGGGGTCTAAGCAAAGACATCAACTTCTCCAGCAGTGTTCTTGGCATGGCTGTATGATTTGGTGGTTGCTGAGCTTTGGCTGTGGGCAAGACTCAAAGCTCTGACCATCTCACCAGCCAGTAGCTGATCTCCTTGCTTTCATTCTCCTCTCTGCCTGGCATAGCTTGTGCAACTCATTTCATACACTGTTATTGGGCTGGGGAGGGCATGGAATCTGTGTCTCTGGAGGCTTTGAAGAGGTTGGACTCTTTTTGGGATGGTCCGCACAAGTCAGCAGACCATGGGTACAAAGCCACCTTGTCCTGGTTTTCCCATCACTGCCCTCTCCTTAGACATCTCTGGAAAATCTCAGGCCATACCTTGAGGGGCACTCACCCACATTTGAGTGCAATCTTTGTGAAGGACCAATACTAATAATACTTTACTCTTTCAAAGGACATTTCTATCTGTGGGTCTCAAGAAGCTTCACCAAAGTATCCTCCGCTTTTTCGTGGAGGAAAAGGGAACATCCAAAGTTAGTAGTTTATTCACAGTCATGGGACAAGCCAGGCACAAAACACCCTCCTGCTCCTAAACCTGCAAATGTACCATCTCCCCTCTCTGCTCCCATGGCCACCCAGACACCACTCCCTGCCTCAGCATTTGTAGAGGGCAGGAGATACTGCTTTTTGGGGACAGCAGCAGCAGGTTCCTGCTCTGTGGTTTGCAAAGTGCTCTGCAGCCTCACAGCTCTCTATAGATGCTTCAGAATAAATATATTCATGGGTGCTTTAAGGCCACAACAAATTGTTTTTGCCACAGGGGATGCAATGCTGGCTCAGACCTACAGCCTGCTCTGAGCTGTCAGCTCACTTGCCCAGCTCTGCACACACACGCACGCCTGCTCCAACCCATCTCAGGACCAACAATCTCCAGGCAGCACAAGGTGAGCGATGTGCTGGACTACACTTCTCAACAGTGACCCCCAGCAAGAAATGGTGGCGGCTGTCAGGAAAAGAGTGGTCCAACCTCCCTGCACCAGTTTGTCCAGTGGGTTTGCAATCTGCAGAATACGGCGCGTCCAAATGTACTTCAGCTTCACGGCAAGATGATCCTCCATGGGACTGGTCTTCAGAGACACCAAGCAGCCACAGTTGCAGCAAGGAGAAGCACTTCATTGCAAACAAGCTCTCCCTTTTTAATGGCTAGGACGGAAACTGGAAGCCAGGGCTCTCTCCAGGTTGTCTCTCTTATTTCTAGTATGGAAATTTCTTATTTTTCCATCAGGCTTTTGGTATGCAGTTGCCACAGTTGGAGGGCTTAGGGCAGCCTCCTATTTCCAAGCCAGCAAGACCCTGCACCAGTCAGACCTGGAGAATCCCTGTTGAATTCACAAGCATGCAGTCTTATGGTCTAGGCAAATATAGCAGCAAGCTCATGGCCCCCTCCTCCCCATCGTTCAGGCAGAGGACAGCAGGTATGAGGAACATTTTGCAGGGCTGAGGGGCTCCAGCAGCACCAAGCTGTCCTCCACTTTTTCGTGACGCCGTCCCTCATAAAAAAAAAAAAAGAACCACGTAAAAAATGAACCAAGAACTGAACTGAGAGAAACAAAAATGAAGACAAAAGCATAGAGCAAGAAGGGCTGAGAAAGAGGGGATCAGGCTTTAAAAACAACAGAGCCCTTCAGCTGAGTTGGTTCAAGGCCGTCAGTGAAAGTGAGGAGGAAATACATCACCTTGCGGATCTGGGCTAACTCCGCTATCCGCTCCCCAAATTCCTGGGCATCTGCCTCATTGCACTCTACTTCCTTGGCCCCTGGCTTCTTCCAGAAGATGCCCACTGGCTCCAGCAGCTGCCGGTTCATAAGGTGGGTGAGATCAGGAGTCCAGTGCTGGGAGGTGCCGGTTACCGTGACCTTCCCAGGTCTCTCCAGCTGGATGTCCCAGCGGAGAAAACACAGGTTGTGTTGCCGGATGAAATCTACTCGGTAGATGTGCTCATTGGGATGCAGCAGCTTCTCACCATCCTGGGGCCTCATGTTTTTTTGTTGCAGGCTCTGGAATCGCAGTCGCATGCACCGGGTGAGCTGGTCATCGTGGACGAAGGGCAGCTTGAGCATCCCTGCCTCAGCTGCCATCGCCTTGGTTGCTCCTCTGCTACGTCCTCAGCAACGTTTGGCTCTCAAACAGGACACACAGGGCAAAAAAGCCTCCAAGCCCCTGGAGCTGGTGCCCCCTCTCCACAGTCCCAGTGGTGCTAGGCAACGCGGGCCAGTGACGCAAAACACCCTTCCTCTGGGTGCCCTCCCACCTCGTTTGCAGATTGGGAACTGATGGTGCTGCTGTGCACGATAATCTATAGGGAAGGGATGTCTGATGTCAGCCTCCCTGGCAACCTCCCTGACAACCGTGGCTCGTTATCCTGAAACGAAGGCGTGCAGCCAGGGATGCCACCTGACAGGTCTGGGCGGCAGTGGCTGAGTGTAGGCTCATGGGATAATTCAGGTTGGAAGGAGACTCTGGAGGGGTCTGTCCAAGCTGCTGCTCAAAGCAGGATTTACTTCAAGGTTAAATCAGGTTGCTTGGGGCTTTGTCCAGTCCATCTTTGAGTATCTCCATGGATGGGGATCCCACAGCCTCTCTGGGCCCCTGTTCCAGGGTCTGACCCCGCTCATGCTGAAGATAAGCTGGAGCTTGTGCTGTTGTTTTTTTTCCTGTGACTGTGCATCCCCAGCAAGAGTTTGGCTCCATCTTGTCCACACCCTCCCATTAGGTACCCGCAGACAGCAGTAAGCTCCCCCTTCACCTTTCCTCCTCCTGGCCACACAAACCCAGCTCTCTCAGCCTCTCCTGGCATGTCCTGTGTTCCAGACCATCTCAGTGGCTTCCATCAGGTTCGCTTCCATCTGCCACTGTCTTCTTCTGGGGACCCCAAAACAGTGCCCAGATGGGGACTAACAAACACCAGACAGAGGGAAAGAATAATTTCCCTCGCCCTGCTGGCTGCGCTCATGTTAGTTTGGCCCCCGTCTCTGCAATGGTACATGTTTGACTCATAGTCAGCTTGTCCCTCAGGAACCCGTGTCTTTTTCTGGATGGCGCAGCTGGCAGGAGTCAGGCTCCACGCTGCTGCTGCAGCAGCAGGTGGATGCCAGCAGCTCAGCATGGGTCTGCTTGCCCTCAAACAGACTGGCCCGATGTTGGAGAGGGAGCTCACATGTGGGCTTCACCTTAGTGCGCCTAGGAAAGGGGAACCCAGGCACAGTCTGCGCCTTAATGCTTATCTCTTTGGGCTAGGTGGAGAAGCACGTCCAAGATGCAAGCAACCCAAACAACCTCTTTCCAGGCACTGTAGGGATGCTCTGAACACACATGAGCACCAGCAACACCATCGTGCCCAACCTGGAACCACTCATTCCGCAGCAATTACTGTGCATGATTAAATCCAGAGCACCGGTGCCATGCTGGTGGGTTGTCCAGACCGTGGATAGGATAAAGGGGGATAGTAGTGAACGTGCTTCTCTTCGCAGGGTGCTGGGTGGCTCCATGAGGCTGCAGATCCTGAAGAGAGGTGCCATCCCAAGCCATGCCCCCTTCTGCCAAGTGGCCCCATGACACAACAGCTAAACCACAGTCCCAGTTTTAGGTGCACCATGGAAAAGGCCTGGCTCCTGCAAGCATTCTGTGGTATCTCTGGGATGCAGTCACTGGTTTGGACACTTGGAGAGTGCAGGGGTTTCAGCACAAAGCTTTAGACATTGTGCGGAGTCAAGTCATTTGGGTTCTCTCTGTCCTATCTGCGATTCAGGTTGGCTTCTGCCACATGCCATGTTTGCAGGGCACTTTGGGAGCTCAGACTGTGTTAAATGAACTCCAGGAAACAGTTTTTCTAAAATATTTTTACAAAAGGCTGTGCCATCACCTGGACTGTGTCACACTTGACTTGCAACCACCCAGAATGATCCCTGGAGGCTACCACTTTGAATTCCAGAAAAAGTCCCCAAAAAGACCACCAGAAGCTGGCCCTGGCCGGACAAACCACAGACACCAGAGGCCCAAGGTGGGTTATTATCCTCAGAACTGTCCTGTAGTCACCAGTCTGCTGTTACTCCTAAAGACCCTGAGGACAGAGTCCACAAAGCTGAGAGCCACAGGGACCCATTTGAAGGGACAAAAGAGAGGTCTGAGGAAATCTGACCCTTCTGGCTGTTCTCTGAGCTCTTGCCTCACTTGTTTGCTAGCTTTTAAACACCTTTAGCAACAACTGTTGATCCAACCATTAGGTTCTAACAGTTAAAAATACCTTCAGGTAACCCTGGAGACCTTTTTGAACTGAGCTACATGTGATAATGTCACATGGACCTTGCTTGGACTGTCTTGTTTCTTTTACCTCCCTATGTGGTGGCAGTAGAAGGATCAATGACCTTGCACCTGATGATGAACTGACTGCAGTGGCATCCAGCCCCCAGGCATCATGTGATGCCCTGGCTGAGGCACAAGATCAGCCTTCGGGTCCTCTTCAGAGAGCAATAACTAACCCCAGGTTGTAGAAGACCTATGCAAAATGGACTCTGGGAGATGGGTGCCCTCAGACCTATCTGCTTGTGGCATCTCATCCAAGACTGCCCTGTGCTCTGGAAGCAACTGAGGGGGAAGAAGACCAGGCCAGGTGGTGGAGATGCCAGGTTGTCTGAACCACTTGGCTTCAGAGACTGGCCCCTGTCCCTCGTTTGTTGAGCAATACCAATGCAACCTGTAGGAGTACAGGTTATAGATCCAGACAACCCTTTAGGACAAAGCGGTGCTGGAAATTATTTAAATCCCGCCCCCGCCATTTCAAGGCCTTAATTTGTTTTCATAAGAGCTAGACACCTCTGAAGGGCCACAGAAAAGGTGTTATAGAGCCAGGTCACGCCTAAGGCCATGTAGGGCCAGCCACGAGTCAGGAAATAGAAAACAGCTCTAAATTAGCTTCCAGTCCCCCATTCCCACTCAGTGACTCCAACACCACAGGCTTAATGGGAAGGAGGGTCATGGAGCCTTGGAGCAAGGTGGAAGAAAGCATGTGAATAAAAACTTCTCTTGGGATACACAGAGATGTGGCTGGCCCATCCTATTCTCTTGAAGGTATTACAGCTCCCCACACTTGAGAGTTTTCCACTGTGTGAAGTGGAGCACAGGACACACAGAGCCTAAGTTACATCCTGGTGTAAATCAGGATTACATTTTCTAGCAGCAGTGGGAGACCTGGCCCAAGATCCCTGTACTGATATTTCAGTGATACTAAAACATATATCAGCATCTTTCAGCTCCTCCTGGACCTTGAATCAGAGACATTTTGGTGTCTAATGACACTAAAACTAGGTTTTAAACTAGGTTTAAAAAACTAGTGTTTCAGTGCCTTTTCTGTCCTCTCAACTGTTGCTTACATCAGCACATTGACCGGTCAGGAGTAGAGGTTTGCCCTGCAGGCATTGGGTCCTATGTGTGGAGATGCCTGAGGGCCAAGGAGCAACGGGTACCTCCAGCAATGGTATCACGATTGCACGTGCAACTGTACCAAGAGGTCCGTTATTTCTGAGCCGATGAAGGGGTCTGAGATCTTCAGCAAGGACCACGCTCTAATCCCAGCACATCCAGCAGAGCTGGTGTCTCTTTGGACCAAGGGATCAATCTGTGCACCTGACATCTCCCTTTTTGCTTTAAAAGTTGCTGCTGCAGTTTATAGCCACACTTACTCCTTGTAATTCATCATAAGCCCTCAAAGCACCTTGCAAAGGGTGAGCAAAGGTCCCATCTAATTCAGAGGTCTCCAAAAGGAGGGGTGTGCTGAAGCATGACTGACCAGAGTGCTGTAGCGAACACCACAGTAAACAATGGGGAGGGAAGGTTTGAGGAGACGGCTGCAGCTTCTGCTTTTGCCAAAAACCAAACCTTTCTGAAAGAAACAGGAGGCAGGTAAAGAAGAGCCTCTGAGAGTTAAGGGCATGGAAGATGAAAGTCATAAACACCCACAGCCAAATTGCCAAGGGAGGAAAAGCGATGCCATTGGCAAACTGAAATAATGAGGTGTCCAAAGGGACCTGGCTTCTGTTTGGTTGGCATTTCCCAGGGCAAGGCTGGAAGTGAATGGTGAGGAGGGAAGACAACTCGCCCGCTTGCCCCTGGGAGACGTCGATGCAGAGGAACAAGCTAAACAACCCCTTGCACCTCTCCTGTAATAACAGCCACAACAGTCACCACAGCCACAATAGGAGGAAACCTTACTGCTTATCCAGAAGCCAACAACAGCTGTCCTGTTTCCATATAAAGAAAAAAACCTTGATTTTAACAGAAAATGGGTATGCTGCAACAAACACAAATTCCTGAGCTTAGTGTTCATGATCACAAAAACCACACGCAGCAGAAACTGGAAGTACCACAGTGCACAGAGCAGATGCAAAGGTGTAGGGTGGAGGGACCTCTCTTGGGTATATTGCAGTAGAAGGCTGTGGGTGAAGCAGGTGATGCTGTCTGCACACACTGTAGGACTTTGGTGGCTGCCTTTTGCAGTAAAATCTAGGAAAAGGCACTTGCAACTTGCTGGTCTCTTGCCTTCCAATGAGGCATGGCTGTACTAGTGTCTGAAGCCCCCCTGCCTTGGCTTTCTTAGGACTGACTTCTTCTGTAGCTGAGGACCCGGTGGAGACGGGCACAGACTGTCCAAGGATGTGGCACTGAGCACCTCCTTCCCCCCTGTACCTTTGTGGTTGCTCTCTGGGTCTGCAGCCCCTTGCTCTGGTGCAGCTCCTTGCTGGCTTTCTGGCCCACAATGTGGTCCCTTTGGACCCCACACTCGGAGGAGCACTGCCACATGGTGCAATCCAGCCATGGGACATGCCAGGGATGGATGCTTTGGGGAAGCAGCGGCCTGGGGGAGATACTAATACTCTCAAATCACCCTACCTGCCCCAGCGCAAGGTATCTCATTGCCAAGGTAGGCACACACTGAGCAGCCAAAGAGAGGTACCACCATGGAAACTAGGGAAACGGGGCCAAACGCTGCAGCTGAGCATCCTGAATTTTGGTCATCTTGGTTTTTAGGTTATTTTGGAGTGGGGAGGGTCAGATTTGGGATCTGGAGGACGGGACAGGACTT